TCAAGGGAAGTAATAGTGCCACTGTATTCTGCTCTGGTCAGACCTCACCTGGAGTACTGTGTCCAGTTCTGGGCACCACAGTTCAAGAAGGACACTGACAAACTGGAACGTGTCCAGAGGAGGGCAACCAAAATGGTCAAAGGCCTGGAAACGATGCCTTATGAGGAACGGCTAAGGGAGCTGGGCATGTTTAGCCTGGAGAAGAGGAGGTTAAGGGGTGATATGATAGCCATGTTCAAATATATAAAAGGATGCCACATAGAGGAGGGAGAAAGGTTGTTTTCTGCTGCTCCAGAGAAGCGGACACGGAGCAATGGATCCAAACTACAAGAAAGAAGATTCCACCTAAACATTAGGAAGAACTTCCTGACAGTAAGAGCTGTTTGACAGTGGAATTTGCTGCCAAGGAGTGTGGTGTAGTCTCCTTCTTTGGAGGTCTTTAAGCAGAGGCTTGACAACCATATGTCAGGAGTGCTCTGATGGTGTTTCCTGCTTGGCAGGGGGTTGGACTCGATGGCCCTTGTGGTCTCTTCCAACTCTATGATTCTATGATTCTATGATTCTTCTCTTCCCGAAAAAAAGCACTTCCAAATTGGCAAAGGAGTGGATCCACTTTGAATTTGGTTTCTCCCTCCTCTCATCTATTGCTCTCCTTCAGTTAACTGGCTGAAGAGGAGCAAATATGTACAGGGAAAGGGACCCCTGACCATTAAGTCCAGTCGTGGCCAACTCCGGGGTTGCAGCGCTCATCTCGCTTTACTGGCCGAGGGAGCCGGCGTACAGCTTCCGGGTCATGTGGCCAGCACGACTAAGCCACTTCTTGCGAACCAGAGCAGTGCACGGAAACGCCGTTTACCTTCCTGCCAGAGCGGTACCTATTTATCTACTTGCACTTTGACGTGCTTTCGAACTGCTAGGTTGGCAGGAGCAGGGACCGAGCAACGGGAGCTCACCCTGTCGCGGGGATTCGAACCGCCGACCTTCTGATCGGCAAGCTCTGTAGTTTTAGACCACAGCGCCACCCGCTTTAATTAAGATGGGGGTAAAGGAAGACACTGTACTGCACTCTGCACAAACCTTTGTAGTTTCCTCTGTGCAAATGAATCTGTCGCTCCTGACTCTCCGGGCAAGGGGATGATTGTGAGCTTTAATAGGAGAACCCAGAGGCCTTTAATCCTGTTTCATGCCTCTGATCGCTCCGGTATTGGGAGGCGGCCCCAACCCACACGAAGTGGGTGGCCAGGGTGATCTTGCTTTGCGGGCCTCCCTTTAAAGCTCTGGCAAGGTTTCAAAGAAAGAAGGAACTAACTAATATGAGCCCGTGTCTGCAGCCTTGCATCTCTGGGGCTGGAAGGCTCCCCCCACCACATGCAAATTTCCTAGGTGGGCACTGATAACAGATTTTTATTTTGATTTGTTTGCTTATTGAATTTCTATCCCATCTTCTCCTCTGGTGAGCTCAAGGTGCCGTGCGTGGTTCTCCCTCCCTGCTCCTTTGACCCAGATTTCCAGAAGTGCCATACATCCCCCAAAGTTTGGGGGAGCCCTGTCCTAGCCCACAGCTTTCTCTCTCCCTTTTTTAATTTATTTGCTCAACACACAACAAAAAAGGACAAAATTAACCAAAGTACCATCAGTCGCGCCATACATAGAGAATTAATATAAATTTCATAATCCTTACACTGTCATGGTCTCTTCTTTTGAAACCTGACTTCCCATCTACTCCATAAATCAAATTACCATTCTTTACTGCCAGTACATTTTATTACTGTCATCTCAAAACATGTTCAAAATATGTTAAGTCGTATTACTAGTAAACGATATTGCTGGAGTTATTCAAATGCCGCTACGGATTTTAGGTCAGTATCATTCATTTTCAAGTATATTTTAAATACTTCCCATTTTGAAATGAATTCTTTCCTTGGTTTGTTCTTTAGTTTTTTGGATAGTAAAGGTAAAGGGACCCCTGACCATTAGGTCCAGTCGTGGCCGACTCTGGGGTTGCGGCACTCATCTCGCTCCATTGGCCGAGGGAGCTGGCGTACAGCTTCCGGGTCATGTGGCCAGCATGACTAAGCCGCTTCTGGCAAACTAGAGCAGCGCACGGAAACGCCGTTTACCTTCCCGCCGGAGCGGTACCTATTTATCTACTTGCACTTGGCAGGAGCAGGGACCGAGCAACGGGAGCTCACCCCGTGGCGGGGATTCGAACCGCCGACCCTCTGATCGGCAAGTCCTAGGTTCTGTGGTTTAACCCACAGCGCCACCCGCATCCCTAATTTTTTGGATAGGCTATCTTAATTCAGCATAAACGATCATTTTTTGGACCCAGTTTTTGGGTCCAGCCCACTGCTTTCTCAAAGCATTTGTGCGAGGAACCCCGGAGTCTTATAGTGGGAATTGCGATGCTTGTTTTCCCGACGCGACTGTGAGCTCTGAGCTCAGCTTTCGTTGTTGGGAAAGTGGGGTACAAATGCAAAGCGAAAATTAAACCCCCCCCCGAAGAAGGCAGGCGGTAACAGGGGGCACCTTCCCTGAAACACTGAACCTCTGTCCTTGCCCCTGCTGTCGAGCCTCTCTGCCCCATAGCTCCTGCCCAGACAGCTGGCCCTTCAGCTGCCTCCCCAGCCAGCCAGCCCCATCTGTGCCGCAGCGGCTGCCTCTGTCCTGCCCTTTACTACACTGTAATAGGATCCGTAATCTCGTCAAGCTTCCCTTCTTGCCTTGTAAGCCTGGAGTAAATTATGCAGCAGGAGGCCAGCAGAGCCTGAGCTGGCCAGCCAGAGAGCAGGCTCTCAGGGGTGGGTGGGGAACAGCCTGCGTCGCCCACAGCTGGTCAGACTGTGGGGTGGGGAAGCGGGTGAGGAAGCCAGGGACAAAGGTGTGCATGGGGTGAGGAACTCAGGTATAATAATAATAATAATAATAATAATAATAATAATAATAATAATTATTATTATTATTATTATTATTATTATTATTATTATTATTATTTATACCCCGCCCATCTGGCTGAGTTTCCCCAGCCACTCTGGGCGGCTCCCAATCAAATGTTAAAAACAGTACAGTGGTACCTCAGGTTAAGTACTTAATTCATTCCGGAGGTCCGTACTTTACCTGAAACTGTTCTTAACCTGAAGCACCACTTTAGCTAATGGGGCCTCCTGCTGCCGCCGGGCCGCCGGAGCACGATTTCTGTTCTCATCCTGAAGCAAAGTTCTTAACCTGAAGCACTATTTCTGGGTTAGCGGAGTCTGTAACCTGAAGCGTGTGTAACCTGAAGTGTATGTAACCCGAGGTACCACTGTACAGCATTAAATATTAAAAACTTCAGATGTCTTTTAAAGATAGGATAGCTGCTTGTTTCCTTCACATCTGAAGGGAGGGTGTTCCACAGGGCGGGCGCCACTACCGAGAAGGCCCTCTGCCTGGTTCCCTGTAACTTTGGCTTCTCACAGCAAGGGAACCGCCAGAAGGCCCTCGGCGCTGGACCTCAGTGTCCTGGCAGAACGATGGGGGTGGAGACGCTCCTTCAGGTATACTGGACCGAGGCCGTTTAGCGCTTTAAAGGTCAGCACCAACACTTTGAATTGTGCTCGGAAACGTACTGGGAGCCAGTGTAGGTCTTTCAAGACTGGTGTTATGTGGTCTCGGCGGCCCCTCCCAGTCACCAGTCTAGCTGCCGCATTCCGGGTTAGTTGCAGTTTCCGGGTCACCTTCAAAGGTAGCCCCACGTAGAGCGTGTTGCAGTAGTCCAAGCGGGAGATAACTAGAGCAGGTAGTCGCTGGTGTATGAACGCAGTGGGTGGAGGGGCTCCGAGAGAGCGATTCAGGCCTCCCGACGCCTCCCCCCCCCAAACGCTTCTGCAACCATTGCCAGTTCGTCGCCTTTCTTTGCTTCAATCATGAGATCCAGAGACCTGAAGCCAAAGCATTGATTTTCAATTTGCCGGGGTTGAGGGAATGGCCCCGCATGTATGGGCCCCCCAGAACGTGGCCTTTTCCTCAGTGGCTCCCCACTTGTGGGATGCTCACCTGGTACCTTCATTAGGCACCAGTCAAAAAGGGCCCTCTTCAACCAGGCCTTTGGCTGGTTGAGATCCGATGCCCTTTTAAAATGTGTCGTGGAAGGGGGCTGTATTTCGTATGGGGTATGGGGCGGTATGCAAATACAGTGGTACCTCAGGTTAAGTACTTAATTCGTTCCGGAGGTCTGTTCTTAACCTGAAACTGTTCTTAACCTGAAGCACCAATTTAGCTAATGGGGCCTCCTGCTGCTGCTGCGCCGCCGGAGCCCAATTTCTGTTCTCATCCTGAAACAAAGTTCTTAACCTGAAGCACAATTTCTGGGTTAGCGGAGTCTGTAACCTGAAGCGTATGTAACCTGAGGTACCCCTGTATGATAAATAACAAAATAATAATATTAATAATAATAACCTTTGAGAAATCACCATTTCTGGTGCCACACCCCGTTCTGTGATGGAATCTAGGTAGGTAGCTAGCTAGCTAGGTAGGTAGATAGATATACTATGGGTCTGAAATATGATGCGTGATTAAAATAACAGTAGAATAATAATAGAATTGCAGAGTTGGGACCTGAGGATCATTTAGTCTAACCCCCTGCAAGGCAGGCATATTCAGCTATCCCACACAGGGATTGAACCTGCAACCTTGGCATTATCAGCTCCACGCTCTAACCAACTGAGCTATCCAGGCATGGTGTATTCTTACTACGCTGTCCCACATTTGGTACTAGGTAAGGAACAATGCAGCGGTCTATTGTGTGGCTCCTGACATGCTGCTAACGGTTGCCCTTTTGCTTTCACACCATGAGGGCTAGAAACCTGAGGGTGCCTTTTCAAAACCGGAAAGCTTAATTCCTCTCCCGCCTGCCGGAAAGCTGAATTCTGCGCCCCTCGTGACATCCTTGCGCGGAAATAAAGCACGTGCCTGTTGCGATTGCAAGCCGGCTGATTTCTCTTCTTTTCCTCTTCCCCCAGGCACCTCGGAGGCCCCACGAGCTGCGCATCCATGAGCTAGGGGAAAGGAAGGGCCGCCTTCCCCCCTGCCCCCTTGCCATGAGACAGTGATGGATCAGAACACCTTCTCCCACATCCAGCTATGGTGCCCGCGGCCTTTCGGCACCTACTCCCAGAACAAGCAGTGCCCTGGAGGCCAGGTGAAGAAGACCTTTGGGGACTTTGCCTGCAAAGCCAAGGAAGAAGAAGATGACAGCGGCGAGGCCTGCTCCGAAAACACGCCCCCTGCCCCGCCGCCTCCGCCCCCGCCGCCCCCCACGGTCTCCCCCAGCCCCAGCCAGGTGGAGGAGGGCCGGGTGCTCTTGGACACGTGGTACGTGATCAAGCCGGGAAACACCAAGGAGAAGATTGCCTTCTTTGTGGCCCATCAGTGCAGCAGCGGCAGCCGAGCCAGCGCCATGAAGGTCAAGGGTAACTGGGGGAGTGACAGCTCCAAGGCCAAGCGGCGGCGGAGGTCCCACGACCCCGGTAAGAGCAAGGCCTGCCCGGTCAAGGCGAAGGACGCCGGCAGCAGCAGCAGCAAGGAAGCGGAGGATGTGTGCCTTTGTCCGGAGTCCCATGCCGAGCCGGCAGGCGCAGACTCCACCGACCTGCTCTCGGTGGCGGAGATGGTGGCCTTGGTGGAGCAGCGCACCGCCCTGGCGTTGCAGAACTACCCCAGGCCGAGCATGCCGGCCGCGCCGCCGTCCCCCATGGTCTTCGTGTCAGCGGAGCAGGAGGGCGAGGAGAAGAGGGCACCTTCTCCGGGCGGCAGCTCGGACTGCAGCCGGGTGGCGGAGGCGGTGGCCCACTTTGAGTCGCAGCAGCGGGAGCGGAGCGTCCTGCGCCCCAACGGCCTGTGCCGGGAGTCTCCCGAATGCGTGGCCAACTCGCAGCACAGCCCCGGCGAGGTGCGCATCGCCTTCCGCATCTCCAGCAGCCGCGACCCGCGCTCGCCCACCGAGGGCGGCCAGGGCGCCCGCCCCAACTGCATGTTCATGAGCTGCGGCGGGTCGCCCACGGGCAGCGCCGCCCGCGCTAAGGACAAGATCACATGCGACCTCTACCAGCTCATCAGCCCCTCGCGGGACACACTCCCCAACAACGTGGACTTCCTGCTGGCCAACGCCTCCCCGAAAGGGGCTGACGGGGTCGCCAGCGAGCCCCCGGACGTGGAGATGACTTGCCGGGAGAGTCCCGGCGGCTCCGGCAAGCTGGACGCCATCGCGGAGGGCGGCCGGGGCGGCGGAGAGAAGGCGGGAGGCCCCGCCGCCTCGGTGGCTCGCGACTGCGTCTCCGGCTTCCACGTCGACGTGGTGGTCACCGGCGTGGTGGACCAGTGCGTCTTCTTCGGCAAGGACAGCACCAAGAATATGAAGGAGGAGACGGTCTGCCTGACGGTGGGCTCGCCCACGCAAGAGGGGCTGTGCTCGGCGTGCGACGACCCGCCGCCGGGCCAGCTCTTCTTCCTGCACGCCCAGGTGCCTCGGCAGGAGGACGGCCGGGACGTGGACGGCGCTTTTCTGGACCCTGCCAGCGGCGGTGAGGGCGGCCTGGAGAGAGCCGACGGGCCCGGCCTGGAGCCGACGTCCGCGGACACCTCGCTCTGCCGCCTCTACCGCCACGTCTCGCACGACTTCCTCGAGATCCGCTTCAAGATCCAGCGTCTGCTGGAGCCCCGGCAGTACATGCTGCTCCTCCCGGACCATATCATGGTGAAGATCTTCAGCTACCTGCCGACGCAGTCGCTGGCCGCCTTAAAGTGCTCCTGCCACTACTTCAAGTACATCATCGAGACGTTTGGCGTGCAGGCCACGGACTCGCGCTGGACCCGGGACCCCCTGTACCGCGACGACCCCTGCAAGCAGTGCAAGAAGCACTACGAGAAAGGGGACGTCTCCCTCTGCCGCTGGCACCCCAAGCCCTACCATCACGACCTGCCTTACGGACGCTCCTACTGGATGTGTTGCCGGCGGACGGACAAGGACACGCCGGGCTGCCGGGTGGGACTGCACGACAACAACTGGGTGCAGCCTTGCGACATGCTGAGGGAGAGGGCGGCCCGGAGGGAGGACGGGAGGTGAGGGGCAGAGCCCGGTGGGGACGGGGGACGAGGCGAAGAAGAAGGAGCGCCTCCCCCTCTTCTCCGCTCTCCTCGGGTGTGCAAGAGGGTGTGGCGTGATTGTGTTTTACAGGATTTTTGTTGTGTTGAGGGTTGTTTTTTTCAAAAAAAAAAATTGCATTTGGTTGCGTTTCCCCGTTTGGGTTTGATTTCTTGCCTGCCCCCAGTTACAGAAGGGGGGGGGGGCGCCAAAAAGCCAACGTATGGGAAAGTAGAAACTAAAATCTACGTCTAAGGAGGCACAGGGCCCCTAGAAATGAAAAGGGAAATCGTGGGTGGCGGGGATTAAAACGAGCACCTATCTTCTCTTCCAGCCATTGCAGCTCATCTCCAGGTTTAAGGGAGGGGAAGGGTTAACCTGCAGACCTCCAGGCATTGTCCAACTCCCATCATTCCCTTGGCTCTCTCTGGAGGGCAGCAAGTTTCTGGTCACTGGTGTAGGGAGATGATGTGAAAAACCCTTGAGTTGCCTCTGTCCCACCCCTGTTTTTGAAAAATAGGACCTTTCCTGAGCTTCCAGATATCTGGGGATATTTGCTCTCCTGACGTGACGTCGCTGGTGGTACCCATGCAAGGCTCGCAGAACCATTTGTGTCCATCCTTGTGTCAATCAAGGATGCAGCCTCACGGCTGACTGTAGGAACCAGAGGCAAAGTGTGCTGCGGTTTCCTGGTGGCATACTTGCACTGTCCTTTTTAAAAAACCAGGTACTCAAACCCTTTAGGGCAGCAGAGGGATTTCCTCTGTGCCCTTGCAAGAACTCACTCCTAGGGAGGGTATTCTGAGGCAGCCCAGAGAGCAAAACCGGTCCGGTTTCCCCCATTGCCACGGGAAAACTGTGCTTGTTTCTTTAAAGCATGCTTCCCCAACCTAGTACCCACCAGACATTTTGGACTACAACTCCCATCAGTCACCGCTGTAGTCCAAAAACAGCTGGAGGGAACCCCTATTGGAGGAAGACTGCTTTTAAGACACAGCTGTTTCCTTACAATGAATAAACCTTGATTTCCCAAGTTGCAAATCTTGGCTTTGCTTCCTTCTTCCTCCACACCCCAAATCCGGGCCCTTTGCTCCTCAAGTCCAGGCATAGGCAAACTTCATACCCTCCAGAAGTTTTGGACTACAATTCCCATCATCCCTGACCACCGGTCCTGTTAGGTAGGGATCATGGGAGTTGTAGGCGAAAGCATCTGGAGGGCCAAAGTTTGCCTATGCCTGCTTAAGTCCATGTTAAGAGCAAATAGGACCCTGCTTCCCTGTTTTGAGGGTCATTTAGGCCAGTGTTTCCTGACAATCTTGGGTTTTTGGACTACAACTCCCATCATCCCTAGCCAGCAGGACCCAGTGGTCAAGGGTGATGGGAATTGTAGTTCCAAAACAGGTTGGAGACCCAAGCTGTTTTGGGAAACATTGATTTAGACCTCTTGACTTTGGCCGCGGTTCTCTCCCTCGTTCCTGCCAAACCTCCTACAGCCGAACCACCTCTCCTGGGTCTGCCTGTGCCCTCTGCAAACCTGTCGCCTCGCTGGGGGAACCTTGTGCCCCTGCTCCGTCAGAGAGAGACCTTCCTTTATCCCCAGATCCCTGCCATTTTGAAACCCTTCCGGGCACTGTGTGCTCTGGGATCGCATGCAACCCTTCCGGATCCCACAAATCAGGCCTCCATTCTGCTACCTGGCTGCTCGCTCTGTTTGCAAGGGACCTCGGGGCAGGTGGATGGAACAGCCACAAAATAATCCCGAGTCCTTTTTACAAGTTGGAGAGGAACGGCGCTGAAATCGCATCGTTCTAGGAAGAAGGCAAAGGGCGTCTCTGCCAGAAAACCCTCAGCAGCCGTGTTCGAACCAATCTGGGGGTTCCCTTCACCCCCCTCCCAAAAGCCAAGGAACCACTTTAAAAAACAGAGTTACCTTTGTGGCATAGTTCCCAGTCCCAGACACCTGCTTGTGAGCTGCAAAAGAACAAAACATTTGGTTCCGAGAATAGGGGTTTGTTTTAACTGGAATTTCCAATCCGAGGTCTGCTAGCGCTAGGAGAAAACATATCGCTGTCTGCCTGCTGAATTGCACTAGCAAGCAAGGGGGCGGCATGTTGCTTTGCCTAACAGTCAAGCCCAGCAGTGGGGAAGGACGACGGAAGAGGAAGGGCCCCACACCGTGCAACTGTGGTTTATGTTTGCCCGCAATTCGCTGCATGTCTGACGGCCCCACGGCAGGGTGCTTCTGCCCCCCCCCAAAATAAAAATCAGGAGAGGGTTTCATCGCCCAGACATATCACCTCCGTCTGCCTTTGATGCCCAGTGCATCGTCTTAGGGCTACAAACTCTCATGTTGTCTTAAGGGCTCTGTTTATGACTTCTGGGGCTCCACCGGGTTTGGGGGACCTTGTTCTCTGCCAGGGCCCTGGGCAGGTAGGTCAGACCCCCTTCCGTACCAAAGAGAGGGCTTCCACCTGACTTTTTACGTGGCCCCTTCACCTCGTCCCCAGCCACTGTAATGGGACGGAGAGAACCCATTCTGCAGCAAAGGAATTTTCCCAACCTCCCTGAATACAGGAAACGCCCATTGAGGAGTTTATACTCGTCTGTGCAAGGAGATTTGATCTCTGCTGGGGAGCAGCGCTCTCTGTCCTGCACCCCACAGCTCTGTCCAGCTAGAGACCAAGAATTGTATTGAGACTCCCACCCTGATCCCGTTGTTCAATAGATCAGCTTGGATTTTCTGGAGAAAAGCTGGCGGTTTCCACTGAGCTGTCCAGTCCACAGAAAACAAAAGACTTCCATGCGCCTCCCTAGTCCTCTTTTGAAAGTCTCAGCTGGGCTGTTGGCTCCCATAAATTTTCCCCAGACTGTCCTCGTCCCAGATTCCATACAGGGCAGTTCTTGCTGCTTTTAATATTTCCGCAGGGGAGGCAGTCGCAAGAGCCGTCGCTTGTCCCCAAGGCTGGCCCGGCAGAAGGTGCAGCTATGAAAATTCTCCTGTACAGCTCTGCTGCTTTACGGATTCTGTGTCAACCTGGAATCCATGCAAGAGCTTCGCTGCCCTCCCTAGACACAGCCATCCTTAAGGGGCCCTAAAGATTCGTCCTTCCACATGCCACCTTTTAAGAATGTCACCCTCTTAAAATATGTGCACACACACCCCCACCCTCCAAATGTGTGCACACACACTACAACCCAACCCAAATATACACCTGCCCTAAATTTTGGGTGGTTTTTAGCCATCTATCTCATCCTACCCGCCGCCCACCGAAAAAACCTTGCTCATTTCTCTCCTCCCACCCAGAACTCAATCAGGGCTCGCTCCGCAGTCTTCCCCAACCTCACACTTTGGTCGAAAAGTCTTGCCACCCGCACTGCTCCGCTGGCGAAGTGGAGTGCCTCCCTCATCTCCTCCGGTCCTGTTCACACTGATATTTATATGCTTGTTTGTCTCTGTACATGTGTGACATTTTCAAAAATGACTTTTGAGTGGAGGGGGGAGAGAGAGAAAAAAATTAAACAGCAGGAAAAAGAAAAGAGAAAAGAAATAAGGCTTGATTTCTGACGGTGGTTCTGTGCTCGTTTTTATTTGCTGACCGAGGGGTTCATAAGCGAGTCGTTTGGGCTTTCTTTGCACAAACCGGACTTAAATTGCAAAGCCCGATAAGGACTGAGCATGCTCAGGAGCGGCGGAATGTTGAGCGTTGGTTGAAAAAGAAAAATGGAGAACGAGGGGCAGAATGAAGTGGGTTGCTTTCATTACACCCATTGTACAGATGGGATAATAGAGGCGGAGCTGGTCATGGCTCGCCTAAGACTACATAGTGAGTTTGCAGCAGAGAAGAGAATAAAACTGGGACCTGATTCATAGTTCAGCCTCTCTTGCCACCATACTAGAACAGCTCTTAAAAGCCCCAAAGATTGTTATTGTCTCTGAAACTGGTTTCACCTGGTGTCCCTAGAACAAGGAATGAAAGGAAAACTAGGTAGTCCTTTTACCTAGCACAGCAGCTAGGATCAATATCTTCCTAGATTTCTTTTTCTTCCTCTTCTCCACCTCCCACCTCTTGTTTCATGGTCACATAGCTCAGTTGGTTAGGTAAAAGGTAAAGGGACCCCTGACCATTAGGTCCAGTTGTGGACGTCTCTGGGGTTGCGGCGCTCATCTCACTTTACTGGCCGAGGGAGCCGGCGTACAACTTCCGGGTCATGTGGCCAGCAGGACTAAGCCGCTTCTGGCGAACCAGAGCAGCGCACGGAAACGCCGTTTACCTTCCCACCGGAGCGGTACCTATTTATCTACTTGCACTTTGACATGCTTTTGAACTGCTAAGTGGGCAGGAGCAGGGACCGAGCAACGGGAGCTCACCCCGTTGTGGGGATTCAAACCGCCGAACTTCTGATTGGCAAGTCCTAGGCTCTCTGGTTTAACCCACAGCGCCACCTGCATCCCCAGTTGGTTAGAGCATGGTGCTAATAACACCAAGGTTCCAGGTTTGATCCCAGTGGGGGAAAATGTATTCCTGCATTGCAGAGGGTTTGTCTAGATGATCCTCAGGGTCCCTTCCAACTCTGCAATTCTATGATTCCATGATCTAAAAAGGGAGGCAGAGACGAGAACTGAAACTGGGAAGCATTGCTGCCTCCAACTGTGAAGGCTAAGGTATGAGCCCATTTGGCCATGGTACAGCAATAAGTAACCAAACAAACCTCGTGTGTTGCAAAGAGAACGTCAGCAATGTCTAGGCAACTCGATGACCATGTACAGACTCAATAGACAATCTTTATAGAATTCCTTCAAACCATAGCAAGTCCAAAATGCAATCTTTAGTCTCAAAGCCTCTGAAATTCTTTAAATGAAGCGAGGTACCAGACTTTGTACGATGAAAGACAAGCTGTGAAGCTTTGTGTATACAGCAAATATCATGTCCAACACTGAACAGTGAATCCGGATATTGACTACTGTTTTGTAGAATTCTTTGCCAGCATGGTGGGACGATATAAAATTGCTTCATAAACCCAAACATACATATCGAGTGAATGTATGTAAATGAAAATATAAAATGCTGCGGAACAGTGCTCATGTAATACAGTGGTGCCTCGCAAGACGAAATTAATACGTTCCGCGAGTTTTGTCGTCTTGCGATTTTTTCGTCTTGCGAAGCACGGTGTCGGGAAAGTTTTGGAAAAGCTTCAAAAATCACCAAAGTCTTTAAAAACCTCAAAAAAGGCTACCACACCGCGTTCTCTGAGTTGCTCCTTGAAGTCAAGTCGCAACTGTATTAACGGTGTTAAGAAAAAGGAAACAAACTTGCAAGAAGTTTCCGTCTTGCAAAGCAAGCCCATAGGGAAAATCGTCTTGCGAAGCAGCTCAAAAAACAAAAAACCCTTTCATCTAGCGAGTTTTTTGTCTTGCGAGGCATTCGTCTTGCGAGGTACCACTGTAATGTAGTCACACACATTCATTCAATATATTTACATTCATTGGACATCATTTGCTGAATACACAAAGCTTCACGGCTTGTTTTTCATCGTACAAAGTCTGGTACCTTTCTTCATTTAAAGATTTCCAGAGGCTTTGAGACTAAAGATTTCATTTTGGACTTGTTATGGTTTGAAGGAATCTATAAAAGATGGTCTATTGCGTATGTACATGTGGTCATTGTGTTGCCTAGACATTGCTGATGGCCTCCAACTGTGAAGACACAGCCTCAGGTCTAGTAGACATCGATAGCCTTATCCCCTTCCATCGATTTGCCCAGTCCTCCTTTAAAGCCATCCAGGTCGATCGCCGTCACTGCTTCCTGCAGCAATGAGTTCCACAGTTTAACGACACTGCATTAAGACATCCTTTCTGTGCGAAGAAGGAACAGCTGGCAGCTGTCTTCACAGAGGTCCAGCCGCTATGTGTTTCCCCTCCAGAGGCGGCTGCGGTGCAACACAAAACCTGAAAGCACCTGAAAGTACCTGATCTGAATGCCTGCTAGCAACTTCCGGCCTTCATCTTAAAACTTAACAGGTGTAGCAGCCATGGATGCCTTGACAAACACCAACCTCTCTCCCTCCCACTCCCATGTTTTGAACATGTAGCCTGGTGGAGAGGTCTGGGTGATCCGAAACCTTGCACTCTTGTTTTCTGGACGTTTTGGTCAGCTTAATAAAGGCATCGCCCAATTACGGACTACTTTGGCATTTTTCTTTCGGGCAAACATGGCCACCTTTTCAACTCTCTTAGGTAGAACACAGCGATCCTAATACAAATAGTGTTTTTTGCAAAGCAGCCACAGCCAGATGGAATTGTTCTGAGCACCTCAGGTGTGTTAAACGGGTGTTAAAAGATGTTGGGGGCGATGCCAGCGGAGGGTTCTCCACAGATGGGGGCCCCATCACTAAAGATTCCTTCTCCATTAAGAGATGGCAGGGTCATGTGAGAAAGGGGAGGCTTTTAAATGCCCTGGTCTGAGAATCCATTTTCATGATAAAAACAAACAGCACACCATTTTCTAGACCTTACGGTTTCAAATATAAACCTGCTCTTAATAAGTCCATCTGCAATCTGCTCTTAGTAAGTCCATAAAGCAGAGAGGGTGGCCGAATTTGGGCCTAACTAGGCTTGACGTGAGATGGATCTCTTAATTGTTTACAAAGGAAAATATCAAATATCTGTGTGGTTCAGTTGTGGTTTTTCTGAAGGTTTTCTGGATCACAGCAAGTGTGGAGGAGAAATTTAACCAACTCTTTCTGTATAATTACCGTATGTATTTGTTTAAAAACAAAAAAAATATTGGGTTTTTGGATATTTTGGAAAGATTAACTCTTTCCTCTCCCGCCCAGTCTTTGCATTGGGAGTAAATTCCCACATTTGTGCCAGTTGTGTGGGGGGAATTCCCCCACCCTCTGCACAAACAAACACTTGGGTCTTCCTCAGAACTGCAGCAGAGGCGATAATACGTAAAATTATCTAGGTATAATCTAAAAAAATGTAGTATAAACACTGACAACTGGGAAACACTGGCCTGCGGGTGCTCCAGTTGGAGAACAGCCTTGACCAAAGGTGTCATGGGCTTTGAAGACACTCGAACTCAGGACGCATGGGAGAAACGCGCTAAGAGGAAGGCACGCTTGGCAAACCCACACCATGATCAACTCCCGCCCGGGAACCCATGTCCCCACTGTGGAAGGACATGTGGATCCAGAATTGGCCTCCACAGTCACTTACGGACTCATTGTTAAAACCGTGTTTATGGAAGACAATCTTACTTGGCTACGAGTGAACACCAAAGAAGAATAAGGTAACCCCCCCCTCCATTGTTGCTGGAAACCCAATAATCCCCCTCCCTAGCTGATGATATTAAAGGTAAAGGTAAAGGTACCCCTGCCCATACGGGCCAGTCTTGACAGACTCTAGGGTTGTGCGCTCATCTCACTCTATAGGCCGGGAGCCAGCGCTGTCCGCAGACACTTCCGGGTCACGTGGCCAGCGTGACATTGCTGCTCTGGCGAGCTAGAGCCGCACACGGAAACGCTGTTTACCTTCCCGCTAGTAAGCGGTCCCTATTTATCTACTTGCACCCGGGGGTGCTTTCGAACTGCTAGGTTGGCAGGCGCTGGGACCGAACGACAGGAGCGCACCCCGCCGCAGGGATTCGAACCGCCGACCTTTCGATCGGCAAGCCCTAGGCGCTGAGGCTTTAACCCACAGCGCCACCCGCGTCCCTACAGCTGATGATATTAGCATTTCTTAAAAACAAACAAAACTCAACTTAGTTAAATGCATTATGCACATTTAACATTGAGTCCAGTTTGGGCTTCATTTTCGCATCCTCTTGCAACATGAACTTCAGAATTTTTTGATGGGAGGGGAGGTTTAATTACTCCTGCCAAGCTCTGCACTGCTCCTGGCGACAGAGGGGGTAGGGGTGGTGCAGAACGTGCAACCGTGCACAAACTTGGTTGCATTACTCATCTTTGGAACGAGATCGGATTTATTTGTTTTTGTAAGCACTGGGCAGTCTCTGGCTCGGACGATCCCATTGGTCCTCCTGCCAGCAAGCCCACCGTTCGAGAGACGACGCCAATCCCATCCTGGCCGCCCTCAGCAGAGCCTCCCCTGCTGCAGAATGCTGGCCTTTTACATAACCACATTTATGCTTTGTGATTATCTCTTTAGCCGTGGCAGGCGCCCAGCTGGTGCATCCGAGAGCCTCCTCCTTTCAGCTCATTTGGAACACAGCTTACCTTGAGTATCCCATTTCCCAGCTAAAAAAACATCTCTCTGAGGTCTAGGGCATTCCGGCCAAATGTTAAGTTCTTTTGGGACAGGAGCCAGAGAGAGAAGAGGTTCTTTCTGCAACAGAACCTGATGGATTGTCAGAGCTGAGCTTTAAGATCACCGTCCTCCAAGGCGCTGTGGAACTCCCTTCCTCTTGACGTGCATCATCACGCTCTGCGCTTTACAAAAACAAGCACATGCGAGTCTGTTCCAAAAGATGAGTAAGGCAGTCGAGTT